ATATGATAGATTTAATTAATTATTAATTAAAATTTTAAAAATATTATAAGATATATAATTATTAAAATATATAATATTTATTATTTTTTAATAATTTAGGTTTTAAAATTTTTTAATTATTAAAGTATTATAAATTATGATGTAATTGAATTATATGAAATTAAGTTTAATGAGTAATTTTATAATTTTATTAAATATTAAGTGTTTTTCATAAAAGTTACAGTCAGAAAGTTTTAAAATAAAATTTTTGGTTTTATATATAAAATTATTGTAGATCTCAAATGCACCTTAAGTGTTTTTCGTAAAAATCACAACTAAAAAGTTTTAAAATGAAATTTTTGATTATATATATAAAATTACTGTAAATTTGTTATAGTTTTTTATTATTTTTAAAAAAGCAATTTAAAAAAAAAAAAAAAAAACATATATGTCTAAAATTGGCATGTGACTGCCCAAAAAAAATTCTCAATCGCGATGCGAAGCGCACCCTCAGTTAGCAACCGAAACCGTGGCCCAGCCCACCGAGACTGGTTTCACATCGCACCGTTTGTTGCGTTTACGGGCAGTTTCGGAAACACGGCCGGTTTTGGTGGTAAAGTCCTACTCCAGCTTGGAACCACACAACGCAGACGTGGAAAGACTGCTTGCCCTCTGCGTCTAATTTTATATTCTGTTTTTTTTGGCAGTTTAGTCCAAACATTTTAAGAGTATGACAGTTTAGTCTCAAATTTTAAAATATTTACAAATAGATAATATTTATTGATACCATATTTTTGAAAAGGGAGTTTGCAGTTTTGCAATATACAGATTGCATTACATGGGGATTACCCCCCACATTTGAGGGGTCATTACCATGCAATGGTTTAAATTAAAATATTTGGAACTAAATTTTCAAATAAAAAATTTTAAATTTTATAATATGAATTAAATTAAATGAGGATTAACCTCAAATTGAGAGGTCTATCCTTATACAATAAGGTTAAAATATCTAAGGTTAAATTGTTACATATTTAATAATTTAAGACTAATTGACTAAGTTATCAAAAAAATTAAAATCTAATATAAAAATTAAAACAATATAAAGTAGCCATCATGTTTAATCCAAACATTTCCAAAAAAAAAACCCTACTACAATATAACAATTATCATTTAAATTGTTAATAAATTGTTTTTGTTTCTTTTTTTTTTATCACTACTTTTTAAATTAATATTAAAGTAATATAATAATTATCATTTATATGTTACATTATTAATTACGAGTCTCTTCATCTTTCATTATCAACTATAATATAATAATTTTCATTGAAATTACATTTTTTTATTTCTTAAATGAATTATAATTAAATTTTTGTATATTCACAACCTTTTACATTCCATGCTCTTATACATCTATCTTCTTTTAATTCATCAATATAAGATTTTAAATATAAAAGAAAAGTTGCATAACTTTAAAACGATAAAAAGAAATTTGGGTCATTTAAAATTTTTAATATTGCAATAATAACAATTACTATGAGTTTGGAGATTTTAATTTTATAATCTTTTATAGCATCAGAAAAGAAAGTTTAAGA